GGTTGTTTCATCCAAATTGGTTTGGTACATCAAAAGTTATGGTCAAAAATGTGTAAAACTCTTAATGTTAACAATATATATAAAATATCTATAAAAACACTACTTTTTAATTTTTTAAGAAAATTAAATATCTTCATACATTTCAATAATGAATAAACTGAATGCAATATTTCATATCTTCATATATTATCTATTGTTATCTTTATCTTAAAATCTCAAATTATTCTATAAATTGTTAAGTCTTGTATAGACTTTGTATAGAATCTGTCAAGTTATAGTTATTATATTATAGTTAAATAGCTTCTGTTATTACTATGATTAAAGAAAAAACTACAGATTAATACTACATATTAACTTCTTTAATATTACATATTCTGTAACTATCTAATATCTTTTATATATTCTATTTTTTTCTTTATTAATAATTAATCTATAACAATTACTTTGTATCTTTTAGTCAGGCCAATTTACTAACAGTTTACAGTCTATTGTTAACTTTAATTATAGTTAAACTACTATTTTATTTTATATTGATAGTTCTGTTATTTAAGCTTAGTACCTTTCAATGCTCTATAAACATAGGTTAGATTCAAGTCAATAATTTTATAATTATTTACTCATTTCAGACATAAATTAAATTCTAGTTATACTTCTTCAAAGCTATAATTCTTATCATTCTCTTAGCAATTATTACTGCTTTTAGAAACTATTTTATTTATATTTTTATCAACTTATAATCTGTAATCTCCAAATATTACAATATCTACTCTTTAGTATCTAAACTCTTTCATACTTATATTTTATACTTTTCTATTTGGTAAATTCTTATTAATTTTATTAATTTATATAATATTTAGCTTATTTTTCATAAAGTTACTGTATACTAAGATGACTTATTTAATAATCTTGTTGAACAATTTATTTATAATTACTAAATACTATTCTTTTTAATATTCTTAACTAACAACTTTTACAATTCTGTTTATACCCTATTTATTAACTAATTTTCTATTAAGATTTCTATTTAGCACTTTATTTGTACTATTTGTCAAGCTCATATTATAAAACTTTGAATATCTCAATATTGTTTTTTAATAATAGTCTAACATTACATCTAATATTAACTATAAAACCACTTAGTTTTATATTAATAATAATCAAAAAATTTCTAACTTTGTTTACAAGTTCTATTTCTTTACTTTAAAACTTTTCATGTTAAAATTCTTTTGAATAAACTATCTGTTTTTATTTTTTACAAATATAAACTCTTTTATTTTTTTTTTTATTTTTTTTAGGTGACCTCTTTGGTCTTTTTGACTTTTATTAATCACTTATCAGTATTGTAGTTCAATGAACCACTACAGAAGAGTGTACAATTGGCTACATGTATAACTTTTCTATATTACCTATTTAAGGAGTCTGCCCAAGGTTCCCTACCAATTACCATACCTAACACTCCTGCTGGGTGTTCCACTTTAAACCCTCTAAACCTGTAACTTGTGTTAATATCACTGGTCATCTCAGATGTATCAGATCATTGTTCTCAACCTTAGGACTAATTTATTCTTGAGGTAAACCCTCCAGAGCCTTCTGTACTTATTTTTACAGCTGACCTAGGTATCATTATGGCAGAACTAATACTTGTAGTCAGGGTTATTCATTAAACTGCTATGCCCTTGTAGAGTTCACTTAGACCTCAGCATCTACTTCACAGCATAACCCCAGTACTTTAGTATACCCTTACCTTTTGTCCAGCATTTTTACCAAACTTCCAATCCAGATAGCCCATGTAGAACTACAACCAGTCCATCAGTATATTGGATTAGCCTGATATCTTTTTCTTCTAGTTCGTTTTGACAGCCTGGTTGGTGGTACTCTTAAGACTCCCAACCCAGAGGTTCTTGCCTATCTGGCTACTATGACAGGATACTACAACCTTGGTATCTGTTCTTTAGGCTAGCCTTTACAGTAGGGCCATTGAAGATCCAGCTACCTCTCTACTCAAGTCTTCCCAAATGGACTTCTTGTTATCCAATTTCAATGGATTTACACAGTCACAAGGACTTATCTAGTGTTTGCACTGCTCGATTTGTCAGTTTGCATTTCTTTGTATAACACCATACTGATACAGATGCCCCATAACCTGCCAGTCATGCTGGTGCAACCACCATTACAGGTATCCTAACCCAATCATTAGTAACAGTTACTGTAATATGAATATTACATAGGTGATTATCCAAATTTTTGTCATTGATGGGATTTGAACACCCAACCTACCACTTAGAGGGTTGACAACCTGACCACTTCACTAGGTCACCACACCCCCACTCTCTTATTTTCTTTTCTGTACTCAATGCAATTAAATTAGTTTTTTATTATACTAATCTCTTTGTTTTTTTACTTAAACAATCTATTACTTAATTTCTAATTCTCTTAATTGTATCTTAAATGCAACTGCTCTTAACATATCTACCAATCTTGTTTTTAATTTATATCAAGAAATTCTTACACTTAACAGCTTTAATTTACATAACTTTTTATACATATTATCTTTTATTTCTATTTTATTTGACTTAGTTCCTATTGACCTCATTTCTACTATTTATAATATTTCTATTTCTTATTATATAGATATTTTTCTTTTAATTAAATTTCTTCTTTATTTAAACCAACAAATATATAAACAAATATAGATTCTATATTGTATTTCATATTCTGTATAGTTTCAAACTATACTTACTACAAACTTAATCCATAATTCTTTTTTTAGTCTACTCTTATCCTTTATCTTAATACTACAAATTATTATCAAAATTGATTTTTGAACTATTCAATAAATTAAATATCATATTCCTCTTTCTTATATAATTACTAACACCCAAATCTAGGTAAACCTTGATCATTTTTGAAGGTTTAGATCACAGATTATATGAGCTAGGTGCTATAGAAAAGGAGAAAATCATCAAATTTTTTGAAATTAATTTTTTTATGTAAATTAATTTAAAATACAATCAAGATCATTTTTTACTTAAAATACAAAAATAGGTTTATTAATAAAATTTTGCAATATAACTCTTCAAAATTTATAATTTCTTATAGCTTATTATAAAATTTATAATATAAAAATAGATTTTCTGAAAATCTTTTTTTTTTTTGTTGATTTCCCCCTTTTTTATAACACCTAGCCCATATGTCTAAGTCTTTATTCTTCATATGTAATTTAAAAACAAGCTTTTCTTTGTAAAAACTTCAATTGAATTTCAATAAAGTTAAAAGCATGACCTCATCATTAATATTAAAAAAAGAAAAAAAAATTTTTTATCAAATTTGAAAAGTTGGTTGTAAAAAATCTTTAAATTTTAAAGAAAAAAATTTACCCAATTTTTTGAATTTTTTTTTTAACTTTTAACAATTATTTCTTAATATCACTAGAATCTGCGTCACAGGATTGAGGTAATATATCAAATTTGTCTAATTAATAATAGAGAGAGTAAATTAGTAAAACCAATAAAACCACAGCAAGTCTGCATATATAAACATGCCAGATAAACAAGATATACAGTAAATCAAGATACCATACCATTTAGAACCATATTCCGTATTTGTACACATCATTTCGCTCTCTGTATAACCATACCGATACACTCCATTCCTGATATAAAAATTAAGTGTTCGGAGTGTAGTAACGAGCAATAGCTAAAAACAATATATCTTATTTAAAAAATGGTTTATTAAATTTTCTAAAAAGATTAAAAACATATACAATCAAACAAATTAAAACAAAATCAAGATAAGCAGAAAAAATCAAACAAAAACAAAATACTTCTAAGAACTACAACTAGTTAAAAAACTATTCTATTACTTTAGCAATATAAACTTAGTACTCATACAACAAATTTTCTCTTCTATTAAGCCCTACTTAAGGATTTCAAATTAGAGCAAACCATTCCTAAAAAATCCACCAATACTAGTTTTAATAAAAAAGATAATAATAAAAGCAACATATTCATGATACATTTATTTTTTAGAACCATGTACTCTTAAATAAAGGATAATGTGATTGATAACTGATTTATAAACTATAAGTAAAAAATATAAAAACAGTGTTCAGTTGAATGAGAATCTACAACGTTAAGTGAAATATAAAAAAACGCATAATGATTTTAATTAAATAATAAGCTGTTATACATGTATAAAAAATATAAGAAGAAAACATCATAATTAATGGGCGCGTTATCTATAAAATTGGTATTTTGCATAATGTATCCAGTATCAGTACGTGCTTGATAAGAAAAAGGATAAAGTTCTTGAAAAGTGGATATATTTCGTTCTTCATAGGGGTCAGAGTAAATAGTAATTTCGTTAATATTATCTGGTTGTTGTTGTGGATATCCAATTGAAGATGATAAAGTCGATGCGTGACCCTGCATGGCATTAGGGATTGCGGATGATAGTGTAGAGGTTCCATCAAAGTCATTTTCAGAGCCGTTGGGAGAATATACCTGCGCTGGGTGTTTATCATTCATCTTCGGTCCACGTTTTTTACCAGAATCAATAAAAGTACACTCAAGATTACGTAGTTTACAACGTTCACAAGTGGCTTTTCCAGAACATTTTGCGTGTTTCTGTTGACAATTTGTACATGCTCTGGCCACATAAAAGCCTCGTCGTTGTCGTCGCTGTTGTCGTCTTCGTTGTGGTCGCTGTTGATGTAAAAAAAGCATGAGTGATCAATATATAGACGTGGTCGTTGACGACAATCGAAACAAGTTTATTGTTTTAATCAAAAGGTATGCAAAAAAGGATATCGTATATCAATGCGTAAAATTGTATGAAAGTAATTTAATGGAAAGAAAGTAAAAGCTCAAAAAATGCTTGTATTTATATTTGATAAAAAACAAACTCGACGAACAGTGACTGCAATTAAAATGTGTACTGTTTTTATACGTATCGTACTATATAATACTATAATAGTATTTAGTTCATTATGCATACAGTATTCACATTATTTCATTCTATTTAGTTGAAAGTTGGTTATAATCGATTAATTATTATAACATATCTATCTTGAACATTAGCTGTTGGAACGAGGAAAAGCTTTTATTGCAAAATTAGGAAATATGCTGCACCACTGTTGTGATAAAAAATTTATATCACATTTATATTGTTACTTTATATTTTTTCTTTTTTATATTGATTACTTTAAAACTATTTTATATATATTTCTTATTTTAAATATAAATATAAACCATACATTTTCCATTCTACACAATAAAAAAAAATTCAACGCCAATATATAAAACATCGAAATTTTTCTTGCTTTCATATTTTTTTGAAAACTATTCTGTAAAACAAAACTCTGATGTCAATAACTGTTATCAAACCTTCAAGTATCTTGTCAGCTGAACATAACGCCGTGAGACTAAATTACCCTCTTATTAAAATGCAACAATTAAATATGGCACCTGCTATCCAACCTTCTTCAATACCCACCGTTCATCAATCTTTATCAATAATTGTACTGAACCAGAAATTGATTGCGTCGATGATTCCTTACATGAGGATGAATCTCTGCTCCTAACGTTTCAAGGATGCTTCCAGATTCTGATGTTCGTCTTCCATCCTTTGCTCTCCCTTGCGGTGTTGCTGGCTCAAAGAAAGACAATTCCGCATATGGTAAAATTGGTAAAATCAAGAAACCTCCAAGACCTCCAAGACCTCCAAACGCTTTTATTCTTTACCGTCGTGCCAAACAACCACAAATCGTTGCTCAACATCAAGGAATTTCTAATAATGTATCTAAGGAAATTTGTAGGATGTGGCTAGGGTTGTTAATGGGTTTGGTTGTGTTAATCCAACTCTTAACCAACTCCAGTAAATTAGACTTACTCCAGCATTTTACTTCGGGTTGCTCCATAGCTACTCCGGGTTGCTCCAGGTTGCTCCAAATTTAAAGATAAAAGTTTAAACCCACTCCAACCTGGGTTGGGAAGTGCTCCGGAGCAAGCTACTCCATTAACAACCCTAGATGTGGCATGAAGAACCTTTAGAAGTACGCCTCAAATTCCAAAAAATGGCTGAGGCTGCAAAAGAAGAATATATGAAAAAATACCCTGAATATAGATATAGGTCCAGACGTCCTCAGGAAAGAAACCGACGAATTCCTACCTTCTCACGAGATGCTGGCTTACCACATAATTTACTTGTAGATAACAAGACTTCAGGATCTAGACGTATCCCTTCAGGATTAAACAATTCTGATGGTTATCTCTCTGATTAACTAAATACATTATATAATACAATAAATAATATTGCTAATCGGAAAAACATCGGTTACCCATATTAGTAAAAAAATCATATCGATATTTCAATTTCGCAGTAAAATAATTTAACTCTATTCGCTGCATGTGTCTCTTATCTAATAATTGCCGCTACTAAGAGTTTACATGTGACATATCAATATAGACTATCTTAATACAATATCTTAATACAGAGTATATATTATCTATGATCATCGCTTCGTGCTAAATATATAAACAAGTTTCGGTATAAAGTATTTAATTCGAAATTATAGACAGTTTATAACAATAAATGCTAATTCGAAACTAGTATTATAATTTTTTAACTTTCTCTAGATTAATAATCTTGGCTATTAAAAACACTTTAGGCCATACAAAATTAATGAATTGGGTTTCATAACCCGGCTGTAAAAAAGTTATGATTTAGTAACTGGAAAGATTTTTTTAAATAACTATTATATATAAAATTAAAAAAAAAGTCAACCTGCCGGGTTAGCTTTAAATTTTATGTTATGAAACCAAGTAAATAACTTTGTAATTGTTTACCAACTTAGTCAAATTGGTTTTTATAAATCGAAATTTATAAACAACCAAATAATTAACAATAGAAAGCTAATAAGTGTAGTTAGATAGCTCTGTGTACATTCAAGCAGGAAACTTTGCTTAAATTCGGTCCTTTTTGACAAAATATTTTGTATGTAACTATATCAACAAAAATAGATCTTAAACATCTAATTGTTATATAAAATGTAGTAGAACTTAAAAAAATCAAAAAATAGCCTTTCTTATAATAAAGCATTTAAGAAAAGCTAAAAGAATTACAAAATCAAATTAGATTTATAATTAAAAAAGAAGATCAAACTATATAATTTCTAATAAATCTTTTATTTTATTTTTTTTTTGGTATTAAGGTGACCTTTTTGGTCTTTTGACTTTTATTAATCACTTATTAGTATTGTGGTTCAATAAACCATCACAGAAGAGAGTACAATTGGTTACATGTGTAACTTTTCTATATTACCTATTTAAGGAGTCTGCCCAAAGGTTCCTCACCAATTGTCATATCTAACACTCCTGCTTGGGTGTTCCACTTTAAACTCTCTGAATCTGTAATCTGTGTTAACTTACTGGGTTATACCCAGATGCTCAGATCATCATTTCAACCTTAGGACTAATTTATCCTCGAGATAAACCTTCCAGAGGCTTCTATACCTATTTTTAAAGTTGACCTAGATATCACTATAGCAGAACCAACATTTGCAGTCAGGGTTGATCATTAAACTGCTATGCCCTTGTAGAATTTACTTAAACCTTAGCATCTACTTTATAGCATAATCTCAGTACTTTAATATACCTCTGTCTTTTTATTTGTCTTTTTATCAAACTTCCAATCCAGATAGTCTATGTAGAATTATGACCAGTCCATCAGTATATCAGGTCTACCTGATATCCTTTTTCTCTGTTTCATTCTAGTTGCCTAGTTGGTGGTACTTCTGAGACTCTCAATTTGGAGATTCTTGCCCATCTAGCTACTATGACTGGATACTATAATCTTGGTATCCATTTCCTTGGGCTAGCCTTTACAATAGGGCCATTGAAGACCCAGCTACTTCTTTATTCGAGTCTTCCCAAATGGATTCCTTGTTACCTAATTTCAACAGATTTATACAGTCACAAGAACTTATCTAGTGTTTACACTGTCTGATTTGTTAGTTTGCATTCTTCTGTATAATGCCATACTTATACAGATATCCCATAACCTGCCAGTCATACTGGTATGATTGTTATTACAGGTATCCCAATCCAATTGTTAATAACAGTTGCTGTAATATGAATATTAGATAGATAATTATTCAAATTTTCATTATCGATAAGATTTGAACATCCAACCTACCACTTGGGAAGTTGACAACCTGACCACTTCACTAAGTCATCACACCCTCTAATAAATTTTTTAATTATAATAATTAAAGCTATTAGAAACTAAAAAAAATAGTAATAACAGAATTAATAAAATATAAATATAAAAGATATAATAACTTGATGTAGTGAATAAGTTGTTAACCTTTAAGTGGCAGGTCTAGTGTTCAAATTTCACTTATGACAAAATTTGAAAATTATATCTATGTTATAACAGATTGTTTTTTATCAATTATTTGAATTGACATATTTGTAATCTTAAATTGCATTATTTTAAATAGAAGCTTGATATATTTATATAAAATGTAATATTATATATATAAAGAAATGTTTACTAAGATTATAAAAAATTTTAGTAAAAACATACTATAAAGCTACTCGATGTAAAAAATTAAAAAACTAAAGAAACAAAAAATTTCTAAATAAAGAGATAATATAAATTTTTAATAATATTATTAGACTAATATAAATTTATAAATATTCTTTAAAAAGATAAATAAATAAACCAAATACCATTATATATAGAAAAATATATACACTAATCAGATTATCAAAAACTCACTAAAAAAATATATATATAAAAGTATATTAAAAAGCTTCTTTTTTTTTTTATAAGGTTAAATCATAATTTATACTTTATTTAGTTTTTTGTATTATTATTACATTATATTTGTGTTACTAGATTACTATTTAATCTAGTCACCTAATATGATATTACATCTACATTTTCCTATATCTTTTTTTTGTAGTCTTTACTATGTATTTTAATCATTATTACTAAACTACCAAAAAGGCTATAGATCACTTTATTATACTCAAATTTTCTTTTATTTTTTTAATCCAATAGCAGTTCACCTGTTTACTATCTACAATAACTCATCCTTCTTTTTAATTGATTAATTTCAATAGTTTTTTATTCTTTTTGTTACTTTTTTTTTTTTATTTATTTAAGACTGATATTATCAATAGCTACTGCCTTTATTTGTATTTTTGGTCAATGCATTACATGTGACTTGTACAAGATAAGTGTGCAACTAGCCACATGTGTAACTTTTGGTTACCTATTTAAGTAGTCTGCCCAAGAGTTCTATACTAGCTGCCATGTTTGTAACCTATTAGGAGGGTACTTATTTAAATACTCTGATCCTTATACTATACCCAAACAAGTAACACCTAGTTCTCATACAACTAAGTGCCATCTAATCCAACATTTAGCTATCCTTTTTTGTATGTCTGTCAAGCTATTAAACATTTTAGAATACATCATCTGACTGTAAAGTTCTAAAGTACCTTCTTGTTAACTATCTATCCACTCTATAAAATATTAATAAGACTAGTCCTTGTAGAGTTCACCTAAACCCCAACACCTACTTTACAGCATATCCCTAGTATTTATAGTATATTCCTGTTTTGACTCCAGACTCCCAATCCAGATAGCCTAATGGGACTGTAACCTGTTCTTAATATATTGAGCTAGTTTGATATCCTTTTTTTTCAGTTCAGTTTTAGTAGCCTGGTTAGTAGTATCTCTTATCTGAGGTTCTTGCCTATTCAGTTCCTTTACATTGGTATCTGTTTCCTAGGTTTAGTCTTTACAGTGATACTGTCAAAGATCTGTGTTATCTCTCTACTTAGATCTTTCCAAATAGGCTACAGTTTCTCAGTTCTATGAATTTACACAACTATTAGAACTTATCTTAGGTTTGCATCACCTGGTACCAGTTTGCATTTCTCTGTGTAATCAAGGTTACACAGATGCCCTGTGACCTGCCTGTTATGCTGGTATGATCATAGTTACAGGTATCCTATTCTAACTGATTAACAGAATGCTGTTACCATAATACCGTTTATGTATTACATAGGTAATTATTCAAATTTTCATCATCAGTAGGTTTTGAACTCACAACTTATTACTTGGAAGGTTGACAACTTATACACTTCACTAAGTCACCACACCCTTTCTCTTCTTGTTACTAGTTTGATGTATATATTATATATACTTTCTAGTACTCTGTTAATATGATTAAATTTATTAAGATTTAGATTTTCAATTTGCAGTTTATCATATATTTATTTTAGATATACTTGTATAATTAGTTTGGTTTTTTTTTTTTTGGTGTTAAGGTAAGGCTTTGCTCATATCTTTATAAGTAATTTTAGTTGTATATATTAATATACTATATATTAAAGATATACTAAGATTGTAAAATACAAAATAAAAACTAT